GGATAATTCCTATTCTCAAAAAAGGATCTTCCAAATATCGACCGATTGCCTGCACATCAGCATTATTGAAAGTTCTTGAAAGAGTTCTTCTTAACAGGCCGACCCTTTTATCCGTCACTCATGACCCTATTCAGTTTGCTTACAAACATTCGCTTTCCACTCTTGATGCTGTTGCTCACGTTGTTCATTCCGTTTCATCCTTATTGGATAAAGGGGCTGGTATCGTCCGTTTAACTTTTCTTGATTATGCAAATCCTTTCGAATCACTTGACCGCGGCATTCTCATTCAATGTCTTTTGGACTGTGGTCTGGCACCTAATTTACTGAATGTACTAATTAATTACTTTACTCAACAGACGCAATACACTTTTTNCGTCCTCCCTGCTAGAAGTTAACTCTGGAGCTTTTCAGGGTGCAATTTTGTCTCCATTTCTTTTTTCACTGTACAATAAGGACCTTCCCATCCCTCCCAACTTTACCGCCTGAAAGTATGCTGATGATGATGTATGATGACGACGGTGGTCGGCTATCCCTCAACTGTTCCTAATTGTTTCTCTCAACTTCAAGTTTGTCTCAATAACATTTTTAGTTGGTCGATTCCCCGATCTTTATTGCTAAATGTAGATAAATGTGTGGACGTTTCTTTTAGCCTTAGAACAGGCATGCCTTATTAAAACCTTTTGAATATCCAGCCTGAACTTTCTGTTAATGGTAATAACATCCCCAAAGCTAACTCTGTGAAATACCTTGGAGTTACTTTGTCACACAATCTTTCTTGGTCAAAACATGTTGAAAACATTTGTATTCGGGTTCGTAAGCTATCATTCTACGCCTTTAGGCTTAAAAAGCTCGGCGTTCCCTCGAATGTCATTCTTAAATTTGTGACTGCTTGCAGTCTTCTACATTGGTTGTACTGTTCCCCGTATATTTTCCTGGTCTGAAGGAGAAAGACTTTATTCTCTTTTCCAGATCTCTTAATCTTCTTTCTCGATGCAGCGGCATTTCAAAAATTGTTTTGGGTGACTTTATTGTGAGCAAGCATTTTGACTCATGCGATCGATTTTTCAGCCACATCCTGTCCAACAAAGAACACTGCCTGCACTCCCAGCTCATTAAATCGGTCTCTCATCCGAGTACCCGTTTCCAATTTCGGATTCTTTATGCACGCACCAACACACATAAAAACAGCATGATCCCTTATTTTGCTCGCCGCTTGATCAATCAAGCAAACATTATTGCTGACTTGAACAATCATCTCTCGCATAAGGATTTTACGTAAACCCGTCTATTTGTCATTTAGTAAATGTATATTTCTTCTTTTTCTGATAATTAACGTTTTTTTCCAACTGTAACATGTCGAAAATGCTGAAAATTCATCCCATCGGGTGCATAAAGCTTTAAGTGACTTGACGTGACTTGAGTGGGATGTGTTATATTACTTAGTTATGTGTACCTCGATGGATCAAGTTACACAGACCTCGCTCTAAAGCTCAATCAGATTTCGGGTGGTCAATGGTCGAAATCCATTTCGAATGCAGCATCAATTCTTATGTTTCCGTGCATTGTGGCAATTGTGTCGATCGTTAAGTGTATAGCAACTTGTTTTTTCAACATTTCATGTTTCACAGTCGTACGCACTTCCATTGGCAGTTTGTTCCATAATCTGGAGTAGGTACTAAGGAAAAAACGTTTTTGTGTTGCAGTTCTGTCGAGGGTTTTGGGGAGTATGCTTGCGTGGTTACGTAATGGGTATTGTGAGTTTTCTAGAAAATCAATTTTAGTGGTGGAATGGGCCCTTTTTTATATGAAACGATGTAAGATAATGAGATTTAGTCTAATCCGGCGCAGCCAGAGGGGATCCAGCCTGAGGAGAATGCATCTTTCCATATAGCCCAGGTTTGTTGACCAACCAAAAATTTGTTTAGGAAATTTACGCTGGACTTTTCAATGGCTTTCCGGTCATGTTTCCTCATGCTGGAATATACAATTGAGGAGTATTCTAATAAAGGTCTTACATGCGATTTAT